ACCGCTGGAGTACTGGTGCGGATCTTGCTCACGCAGTTGGCGCCCTTGCGCAACGACATCGCGGCCATCGAGACCCACGGAGTCTCCCAGAAGAATCTTAGCGACGCAGCCGGCCCCCTGAAGGACGAGATCAACGACCTCACCAAACGCATGAAGATATTGGAACCACTATACACGTCCCAACCAGCTTCCGCGAGGGTGTCAGAAGCATCATTGCACACAGCTGCGCAGTCGAAAATACAACTGTTAGAACAGGAAGTGCAAACACTGAAAAAGAACATGGCCTCAGGTCTCCGGGGCGCCTGTACAGGCCGCGAAGGCGACGCGGGGAAACGGAAGATAATTAGAGTGCTTGGTAACTTGGAAGGCTTCGGCATGTTCAACACAGCAGCAGCATGGCTCCGGGATAAATTATGGGCTGCCTCCGGTTCCATCCCAGTCAACATGTACGTGAAGGGCGACACCACTACGATCCACTTTGCGGAGTTCGCGAACACGCTCGACCGGGACACCGCCGCCACACTGATCAAGACAGCGAACTACAGAGGGAGGGGAAAAAAGCGTGGGGTTCCCCAGACCACCCGCCAACGGAGCGTGCAGCACGCAAGTTTTGTTTTGGGTTGAAATACATTTTGACAGATACCTTCGGCAATCCATACAAGATCAACGTCTCGGACAGTTCGCCTTACGAAGTTCACGTTGTAGGTCAGCTTGCGGTCACGGCCACCGTGGACGGCACCGCTATACACAAGAAGTAAGACGACAAGAGGAAGGCGCGGGAAGAGTTACAGGGGCATCCACAACTAAAAGAACTCTCCGACAAGTGCGACGCTTTGGCCACCAGAGCTCAGCAAGGGATAGAAGGGCACCCCAAGGGGAAATCGAAAGGCCAATCGGGAACAGGGCTGGTGTCAGGTTTTGTCCGGCTAGACACCGGAGCCGTTCGAGATGGACCGCCCCAACCTTTTCCGCTTGAGTCCGATGGTATTGGTCGTATCTTGGGCGAAGCTACCGGCATGCTCGCCCCCACGGATTCGCGCGCATTTTCTACAGCAGGCATGGGCAAAGATACCCGGCCGCAGCATCAGCATCATTCGCCAGTTCCTTGCTCGTTATCTTCATCCTCTTCTACTTCTCCGGCTTCCTCTACATCGTTTTCTTGCCAGCCAACTCCTAGGACCCCGGCCCGTCAGGCTACTTCGGCACAGGCATCTTCTGCTTCGACGCCCGCAGTATTGTGGCCAGGGAAGCTTCCAGACTCCCGGGGGGAATCCAGGCAGACATGATCACCCATCCAGACCGCGCGCATTGGCACATGGAATGTGGAAGGCCCACGCGGAGATTCAGTGATACAGTTGGCAGAGATTGCAGAAAATAACGGATGCGTATAAGATTAACATATTATGTATACAGGAAACACAACTACATGCAACCGAGTATTTCACACAGGGTGGGTTCATGCATTGTTTGTTTCTGGGGAGGCGAATTTGGAATCCAGATCCGATGCAGGAGTCGGGTTTGTCATATTGCCTTCGGCGCGTTCTGCCGTTGCCGCGTTTAAAGCACATGGGCCAGGAATGGCGACGCCCATGGTCAAAGTCGCCGGAGGAACGCTGGCGCCCACGTCCGCGAATGCTCCCCACAGCGGGCGCGAACCAGAAGCGCGGCAGAGTTTCTCCGCTAACGTCGCTCAGCACATCAATCCAACAACGAAGCACAGCTCCACTGTCGCCCTCGGGGACTACACTGCTAAGTTGTTACATCGAGGAGCGGGCGAAGAAAACACAATTGGATAACGTGTTTTTTCGAGGATGCCCACCAAAGCGACACTCCCCACAAGTGACCAATCGACAATTTTAATGGAATTGCGCGTTGGTTGCGACGCGGCGATCGTGAACACGTTCTTCGACGGGGAAGGTGACGACAATATCGCCTACTGGAACTTGGGGGCGCAGCAATTGCAATCAATATCGCCAGATTTGTTCTATCAAATCGATCACGTTTTATGTAATCATTCGATGCTTGGTCGCATGCAAGAATGCTGGTCTGCCCGGGCAGCCACCCTCAATAGTCACCATTTTCTTACACGCGCAACGCTTCAGCTGGAATGTCAACGATCATCGCGGACCCGCACGCCGAAGGCGAAAAAGGACACGGGCGCTCTCTCGGTGGTGGATACCAAGAAGCCCTTCACCGAGACATTTTCAAATGCGACCGGGGGTCCACTTCCGCCCCCTTCTGGGCGACGCCGCGGACAGAGCGCAGCGAGCTTTCAACGCCGCAGCTGATGTTCTTCCAAGTTGCGAAGTACGACCGCAGAAGCCATGGAAAAGCACGTCCACTTTGGAACTCATTGCCGAAAGGAACGCCCGCCGCCAGGCAGGGGGCTACGACAACGAGCTCGGGCTACACAAATTGATCCGGAAAGCTGGAAGGATAGATCGCGCGGCTTGGTTGGACACTTTGGCCCCCAGTGGCAAGTGGGATGCGGTTCGACGCCCGCGAAAGCCAGCGCCCCGCAATCACGTGGGCGTTAAAGATTTGAACGGAACCTCTGCGGCACCTCTGCTAGACCAGACACCCGTGCTTCGCCGACGTGGCCCCCGCGAACTCCGAGAGGCTTGGGGCCACTTTGCCGATCAACACCGACGCGTTCTCCTTAAACGAGTTCCAGACGGCGATCAAGGAGATGAGGAATAGGAAGGCAGCTGGGCCGGACGACGCGCCTGCGGAATTTCCGCAAGCCACTGCTGAAGACACGCGCGCTTGCGGCGCACTCTTTCGCGCGTGTGCGAGACTCTTTCGCGCACGTGGGAGCGAGCGAATGTGGTTATGCTGTTCAAGAAAGGGGGCGCGACTTTACCAATTAACTACAGACCGATATCCCTTCTGGCAGTGGGCCACGCAGCATTGGCCCCGATGCTACACAGGCGGCTCTTGGATGGCGGGCGCGAACGAAGCATGCGGGAATATCATTTCGGTCCCCGCCCAAAGCGCGGCACTTTTGACGCCTTGACGCTTGTCCGTAGGATGGTGGATGCAGCTCGCATGAACAGTAGTGGAGGCTTCTTAATCCTATTGTTAGATTGGGCCTGAAACCCGACAGCACGCGCGCGGCCTTGGCAAGGCCCGGACTACCAGCACAAACAGTCAACATGGTCCGCGGAATTTACGCAGATCGGCACTTCACTATAGTCGATCATTGTGGGGCTTCTTCGGAGAGGAAGCAATCTGCAGGTATCGCGCAAGGGTGCCCGCTACGCCCCTACTTGTTCATCGCTGTTCAATCTGCGACGCTGCGCGACGCCCCGGACACGCTGGAGCTACAACCAGAGCCAGAGTATGTCGTCAACAGGGGCATTGCGTACGCGGACGATGCTCTCTTGGCGTCGCAACATATATTGGGAATCTCCAAATTATGCGCGAATCCATTGTTACGGAAGGTCGCAAATATGGCATGGAAGTCAATTGGGAAAAGACGCTGCAGATGAACATTTCCTCAACAGGCGAAGTACGGACACGGACGGGAGAAAACGTCAAATCCGCGCGGGGGGCAGTTCATTTGGGCGGGCTGATATCTTGCGACGGCAAAGTTGGGAATGAGTTGCCCCGGAGGCTGGGCGAAGGAACGAATATATTCAAACAGCTGCAAGAGGCACGGGCCCGCGCCGCCATTGGTTGGACAAGGAACTATAATCTCTCTCTCTATATATATATATATACATATAGTTGTATCTATATGTATCCCTCATGCGTTTCGACCCAGACCTTATACTCTTTGGATCCAATATGCCTTCTCAAAGGCGAGAGAGATCCATTAGACGCTTGTCATTGCAAATGCATCCGGAAGATACTGGATACCCCGCCTTCGTTTATTTCTAGGGTCGCCAATTCCATTGTGCCAGACCAAGCCGGAGCAAAGCCTCTCCCTGACATATCAGTTGACAAACAGACGCCGCTGTACACCAAGATCGCGCATGGAAGTGATTCGTGCCTGGCGGAATCTACACTTTGCAACGTAGACGGCTCTCCCAGACAATGGGCCTCTCGTGGAAAGCGAGGGCGGCCGCGGCAGCGTTGGGCCACATCGGTCTATGAGCTGTTCTCGTAATAGGCAGCATCCCCTCATCCTCCTCCCCCTCGTCTTTCAGTCGGGCGTTTCTGTTTTCTGCTTCACAGTCGTGGGGTGTTTTCTTTTTTTCCGTGCCTCTTTCAGTAATTACCGAAGGGCTACCAATTGCGCGCTCTTCTGCCCACGCGCCCTTCCGGATGCTTGGCTGTGTGGTGGTGGTGGAGCAGTTGCAACGCATTGCATCGCAGTAAATTGCGGGCAAGGGGGAGGAGGAGGAGGAGGAGGAGGAGGAGAGGGAGGGAGCAACACGGAGGTGAACTTAAACCGGGCGAATAAAAAACCGGCTGAATTGAAACCAACCGGGCGAAATTAAACAGGATGAATGTAAACCGGACGACTTCAAACCAGATTAATCTAAACAGGCGTATTAAATTTGGATGAATTTAAGTATGACGAATTAAAGTGGGATGGCTTTAAACCGGTCGAATACAAATGTGACGAGTTTATACCGGACGAATTGAGAATTGACGAATTCAAACCAGACCCGTTGAAAGTGGATGATTACAATCGGACGAGTTCCAATTGAGCGAGTTTTGAGTTGATCAAATAAACAAGGCGACCGAAACAAAGGCACATCGAAACCGGATGAAATTAAACCAGTCGAATTAACACCGGATGGATTTGAACCAGGGCGAAAAGAACCGGATGCATTCAAACCCGGGCGAATTTAAACCTGATGGAATCAGATTATATGAATTTAAACGGGCGAAATTGGACGGATGAAATTAAATCGGCGAATTTGCACGGATGAAACGCAACGGATGAGATTAAATCCGGATGAAACAATGGTGAATATTTGAACCCGGTCTCCCGCCGAGATCCCCGCGCCCCGCCCCGCTGGCTTGCGCGGCGCGGTTGCCCCGCCCAGGGCCGCTTGCAAGCGGGGCTTCCAGGGGTACCTGGACCTCGCGCCCAAGGTCAGCATCGTTGAACCGACCCCTATCCCCAGCCCCATCCCCTCCCCATCCAGACTTCAAATTCTCGAAACTCGAAGGAAACGGCTTATATTCCCATCTAGTGGGGTGAATCGGCCAGTGGGGCGAGGTCGGTAAAACGATGCTCACAAGGGTGCGGGGAAGCTTTTCCTGGCCGTGAAGCCCAAGAAGCCCGAGAAGCCCGCGGCGCAGCAGTGAGCGGCGCCTCTGCCCCAGCCATCCGAGAGCCAGCGCCCCCTGGGACGAGCTCCTCAGAGGAGGGCGATTTGAGCCAAGGCCTCTCAGATGGGGTCGAAGTAGATAGGGTGGGAGGATCGCGCCGCATCGCCGATGCATCGCCGATGCGGCTCGATGTGGAGCCCAATTTTCTCCACGCCGAGGGCGCCGCCGATGCATCGCCGATGCATCGGCGATGCATCGGCCATGCGGCGCGATCCTCCCACCCCACCCACTCGGATCCCATCCAGGAGGCTTCTGTTGAGACAACAGTAGTTGGCCTTCGGGGGGCTTCTGCGTCGCCACGGATGGACGCAGCTCGGACAATTGGTGCGTTCTTGGATTCCGGGAGGGGTCTGGGGATCAGTTTGAGTTGCCCTTGTCTCAACTCGCCCTGCTCTGAGTCAGCTCGTGATTTTGCACGGATCGATGTTCACTGGAGGGAGCAATCTCCAGTGGACCCCAGATGTATCTCGAGTATGGGAGAACGGCATAAATATGAATTCGCGGAGGTCCGCGCGGCTTTCTTGTATCGGCGCTGGGCCCCCTCCCTGGCGCGCTCCGCGCGCCAGGGGCGGCGCCAGAGGCGCCGCCAGGGGGCTCCAGCGCCGATCCAAGTCCGCGAGGACCTCCGAAGGTTTATGCTTACGTCGTGTTCTGTTCCTTGCGAGTAACTGGGCCTCGATTCGAGGGAGTGTCCCCCGGGGGCTCTGGCCTTCCAGCTGTTCGGGAGCCCTTGGCCGATGCCTGCCAGTGGGGACCTCTCGGAGGCTGCTCGGCGCGATGGCTGCCTGCTCCCGGCTGGTCTGGCTCGGCGGTGATCAGACTGGCACGGATTGGGGTTGCTGCAGCCAGCAGGCGGTGGCAAGAAACGCGGGAGGTTGGAGCCGGCTGGGGATCTGAGGTGGCCCAGCACCGGCTGCGGCGATCAGGAAGGGGGGGGAAGGGGTTCGAGGTTCTGGGTTCGGGAAGGCGCCTCGCTGGTTTCTGCCTCCATGGGCCGTGTTCGAGCCCCGGGACCGTCAGGAACGGACCGGGAGGGAAGCAGTAGACAAGATGGACCCCGGGGAACCGACGTTGAGCGGACCTGCTCCTGCCCCCCCGTTTGGACAGGCTTTCTCGTCCGACGAAGGCATCTATACACCACCACCGTGCCAGGCCAGGGCCATCCTGGGCCCCAGGATGGTGTATAGACCCTCCTGGCTCGGCCAGGAGGGCGTATACACCATCCCAGGGCCCAGGATGGCCCTGGCCTGGCTCGGTGGTGGTGTACAGATGCTTTCTGCGTATCTCGGGGCCCATCCGATGCAGACCTCCTGGCCGCTTCCTTGAAGGCAATGGCAGGAGAGAGGTGCGTGAGGGCGTGGACGCCGGGCGTGGCAGCGAGCGCGCCGCTCTGGACGAGGCACGCGCTCGCACACGGAGGCGCGCTGCCGAGTCCCGCAGGTTTCGGGCAGTGCCACGAGCCCGGCATCAATCCAGGCCTCCTATAGGCGGAATCGAAATAGAGTCGGGGGCGGAAAAGAGGGGGGTGATGACCAGGGGGGGGCGGATATCATGGCGTGGGCCATGGTATTTCCCCAGACTTCATGGCGCCTCTTCTCATTTCATTACGTCCCTGGCCCCCCCGCTGGGCCGCGCACATGCCGCCGGTCATGATTTGCACCCCCCCTCTTGGACACCCCCCTCTTGGCCGATCCCGATAGAGATGGGGTCGGAGGATCGCGCCGCATCGCCGACGCATCGCCGACGCATCGGCGATGCATCGGCGATGCGGCTCGAGGTGGGGCCCGATTTTCTCCACGCCGACGTCGCGGGTGTATCGCCGACGTCGCCAGTGCATGGCCGATGTATGGCCGATGCATCGGCGATGCATCGCCGATGTATCGGCAATGCGGCGAGGTCATCCGATCCCATCTACTCGGACCCCATCTAGGAGGCCTCTAATCAAGCAGGAAGCCCTCATGCAGGCAAGCGTCGATTTAATCCAGTGGTCGAGTCCCTGCCAAATCCGGAGACGACGGCGCCGCAAGTTCTTAAGATCGCGAGGGCTTCGAGACCTGAAGCCCTTTGAAGCCGATAGGCACCATCATCCAAAACGGTTCCTGTGAGGCACGTTATCGTGAGGGCAAGGCCACATGTTCCCACAGCCATCGCAAACAGGCGGTTCTTGTGCCAAACATGGTGAGCCAGCACTTACTAACAAAGGCACTGGTTCCTTAGGATCGAGCCCATTATGCTCCCACCAGAGCCCTCTGGATACCCTCATTGACGCTTTCCTTGGCTCCCCTGACCTGGCCATCTTTGCGAGCGCAGGGAATGCGCCTCTTCCCAAGCCCATGCCATTCTCGATGATCGAGGGTCGAGCATGGAGGGTCGAGCGTCGAGGGGCGGGGATCGAGGATCGAGGCCCTCCCGCCCACGCTGAAGAGCTGGCGACATGCTGCCCGATGAGATGCGGCGCACGCGGGCTTTGCTGCCCCAGAGCTCCGGCGCGCGGCGACGGGACGGCGGCGTGCTGCCAGAGGCGGCCCTGGCCCGCGGTGCCCGCAGCTCCTGCAGGGGCGCCTCCGGAGCGCCTCTCACGAGGCCCCGAGGGCTCCAGGGGCTCGAGAGGCAGGTGCGCAGAGCTGGGAACACCCTGGGCCCTCGGCACACGCTCGGACGTGTGCATGTTTTCCCTCGGCGAGGACCCTCGAGGAGTAGCCTTGATCATCTGGCGAAAAAACCACGCACGAAACCGAAGAAAACACAGGGAATGGACGTCCGAGCGATGGCGAGGGGCCAGGGGCTCTCCTGGCAACCTCCGAGGCGGGGGATGGAAGAGGCGGCGTCGCGAGCCCTCGTGGTGGCCCTGGCGCGAGAGGCTCCTCGCGATGCCCTCGTGAGCCGGCGCGCGTCGCCGGCCGGGACCGCATTGGGGAGCCGGCCAGGGAGGGGGGAGGAGCAAGCATCTGGACGCCCGAAATGGGTACGGAAAGAATGGGTACAATTGTACCCATTCTTTCCGGGTAACTCAGGTAACTCGGGTCAGGGATAACTCGGGTCAGGGGTAACTCGGGTTCGCTTTTCGGGAATCCAAACCCGAGTTATCCCGGACCCGAGTTACCCCGGATAACTCGGGCGTCCAAGAGCCCCGAATCATCAGGGGTAACTCGGGTCTGGGCTAACTCGGGTTCCTTTTTCGGGAATCCAAACCCGAGTTACCCCGGACCCGAGTTACCCCGGATAACTCGGGCGCCCAAAGCAAGCATCTGGACGCCCGAAATGGGTACGGAAAGAATGGGTACAATGCCCAACAGCAGTTCCTGTTCCTTTTGAAGAGGACTCGCTGTCCGCGCCGCCGCGGCCTGTGCCCATTCGAGACAGAAGGCCGCTTGCCCAACGGCGGCCGCTGTTGCTTTGGAGCAACATTTGCTGTTGGGTATTGTGCCCTTTTTTCGGTATATACCCATTTCGGGCGTCCAAAAAGCAGCAGCGCGGGTCAGGATCTGTGGAGAGCGTGCAGGGCGCAAGGGAGTCACAGACCTCCTCCCGCGATTCCCTGAACAGATTGTCTGTACCCGTCGGTCGGTGAAATTAGGTACTTGTTGATTTCCGGATCCCAATCTATCAGGAGGGAAAAAAAACACAGACACAATGAATCCTCGATTCCCCCGAAAATATGGGAAATATGGGAGTTGGGCGGGAAGACAGAAACCCAGAAAATATGTGAAAATATGGGGAATCCTTTTATTTGTGTGTATGTATTTGTGTGTCCTTGGTCCCCTTGAATCTGCCTTAGGCGCCTTCCTACTTCAGTGATCGAGCGGTTTCACTTTCTCCTTCCTCGTTAGGGGGGCGAGCGGGAGCCCAGTCTCTACTTCCAGCGCCCTCCCACATCAGTATTATTCTCGCTCCTTCCAGCCGACGTGTGCAGAATGTACTTGTGTACGTACGAAGTTCGGGGGCGGAAAAGGAGGAGGAGGAGGAGGAGGAGGAGGGGGAGGAGGAGGAGGAGGAGCAAGCAGCAGCGCGGGTCGGGACCTGTGGAGAGCGTGCAGGGCGCAAGGGAGTCAGAGATCTGCTCCCGCAATGCCCTGAACAGATTGTCTGTGCCCGTCGGTCGTTGAAATGAACCGCATGCCGATGATAATAAAGGACCCCCCCCCCTTTCCACGCTAGAGTTGTTTATCCACGGCTGGCCTCATGCTGGCCTCCGGTAGGCAACATTTACAATCCCCCCGCGACCCGGAATTTTATTATCCCTGTGGGATTATTCTCCGTGGTACACGGTTAGGTACTTGTTGATTTTCGGATCCCAATCTACCTTAGGCGCCTTCCTACTTCAATGATCGAGCGCTTTCACGTTCTCCTTCCTCTTCAGGGGGGCGGGCGGGAGCCCAGTCTACTTCCAGCGCCTTCCTGCTTCAGTGCTATTCTCACTCCCTCCGGCCGACGTGTGCAGAATGTACTTGTATACGTACGATCGGGGGCGGAAAAGAGGGGGGTGATGACAAGGGGGGGGTGGATATCATGGCGGGGGCCATGATATTTCCCCAGACTTCATGGCGCCCCTTCTTATTTCATTACGTCCCTGGCCCCCCCGCTGGGCCGCGCACATGCCGCCGGTCATGATTTGCACCCCCCTCTTGGACACCCCCCTCTTGGCCGCTCCCGATGTATACGTACGAAGTCGATGCTCGAACATATGCATGTGCTGTCCAGCGCCTGGTGAGGGAGCGAAGGCCCACGAGGTGGGTGGCCCATCGTAGCCCCCTCCCGTGAACTGCGTGAAGCTGCCTAGGGTCTTCTTCCGCAGGGGCGTCGTGGTTGCAGTGGCCTCCGGCCAGTGCCGCCAGGGATCGCCTGGAGGCCAAGGGGGCCCTCTTGGGGGGCCCTCCTGGGGCCGCCGCAGGAGGAGGCCTCTTGAGGGGATCTGTGGGCCTCTCAGGGGGGGTTCTTGGAGGCCTTCTTGGCTGTCCCGGGGCGTCCCTGGCCCG